GTATTTAAAACACAGACATTAACACACGAAAACATGGACGAACACACACACACACACACACACACACGAAACAGGTGTATATCACTGACAGTATTTAAAACACAGACATTAACACACGAAAACATGGATGAACGAACACACACACACACACACAAACACACACGAAACAGGTGTATATCACTGCCGATATTTAAAACACACACATTAACACACTAAAACATAAACACACACACACACACAAACATGAAAGGGGTGTAAATCACTGCCAATAAAACACAGACATTAACACACTAAAACATGGACGCACACACACACACACACACACACACACACACACACACACACACACACACACACACACACACAAACGAAACCGGTGTATATCACTGCCAATATTTAAAACACACACATTAACACACTAAAACATGGACGAACACACACACACACACACACACACACACACACACACACACACACACACAAACGAAACCGGTGTATATCACTGCCAATATTTAAAACACACACATTAACACACTAAAACATGGACAAACACACACACACACACACACACACACACACACACACACGAAACAGGTGTATATCACTGCCGGTATTTAAAACACACACATTAACACACGAAAACATGGACGAACACACACACACACACACACACACACACACACACACGAAACAGGTGTATATCACTGCCAATATTTAAAACACAGACATTAACACACGAAAACATGGACGAACGAACACACACACACACACACACACACACACACACACACACACACACAAACACACACGAAACAGGTGTATATCACTGCCGATATTTAAAACACACACATTAACACACTAAAACATAAACACACACACACACAAACATGAAACGGGTGTAAATCACTGCCCGTTTTTAAAAGACACACACAGACACACACAGACACACACACACACACACACACACACACACACACACACACACACACACACACACACACACACACACACACAGAGAGAAAACCAGAAGAACACACACACACACACCAAACAGGTGTAAATCACTTTAAAACAGACTAAAACAGTTTAAGGACCAGAACTCACTCTCTCTCACACACACACACACACACACAATCACACACACTTGAAATGGGTGTAAATCACTGCCAATATTTAAAACACACACATTCACACATTAAAAAAAGGACCACAACACAAACACACACAGACACACACCCAAAACAGGTGTAAACCACAGTCAATATTTAAAACACACACACATTAAAGCATCTCACACACCTGCTTGTTCTTCAGAGCAGAAACTGTTTTTGGACCGGCAGAACTCACACTCACACACACTCACAGTGTGTGTTATATAAAGTGAGATATGATGCTACACACACACACACAGCTGTATAATGAGACGCGAGCGCGAGACGGCAGCGGTGTTGTACGCGGGCGCGTGAGAGAACGCTGCAGTATTTAGACACATCGCGCGCGCGCACACGCACACACACACACACACTGGCATGCACACATACACACGCGGGCCGCAGCAGTCTTACCTTAGTGGTCACTATACACAGGCAGTCCATGTCAGGACTGAGGGGCGACAGACGCGCTGAATCCCCCCCACCCTCCCCGGTCTGTCCCTCCGCCTGTCGAGCCTCCTCTCCTCGCGCGCGCGCTCGCTCTCTCTCTGTCGCGCGCCCGTCTCGCAGCTCGCGCGGGAGAGACAGACGGCTGCGGGGACGCGAACAACAGCACGACACGCGCGTGGAAACATGAGCGAAGCTGGCTGGCTGACTGCGGTTGCCTTGACAGCGGGGCTGTTGTTGCTCTAGCAACTGTAGAGCAGTTGCCATGGAGACCGACAGCGGCTGTTGCCATGTGGAGAGACTGACGCGGCGTTAAAAAGTACAGGTGACATCACAACTAGCCATATTAGCTTAGGTTAGCTCACACTGCTAGTTTTGTGGTGAACAATTAAACAGTGCGCGTCATTAAGAGAAAGAAAATAGTTTGCTCTTGTAATCTTTAATTGAAATATACAAATGAACTTTCTGTTTGTTTTCAGTTAAATTCTCAGATTATGTCTGAGGTAGTGGGCGGGGCTAACATATTTAACCACGCCCCTCCAGCTGTCAGTTTTAACAATAAACAGAAATGGTGAGCAGCAGGAGTCTGTTAGGTTGTAACTTACCCTTTTCCGCATCTTTCTGAATAAAACGCCTACGTTACTACATCCAATCAGCTCGCAGTAGAAAACCAAGCCACGCCCACTGTTTGCTCATTTAATATTCCGTTTCTCCAGGAACTGCTCACAAAACAGAGTCTGTTAGGTTGTAACTTACCCTTTTCCTCATCTTTCTGAATGAAACGCCTACGTTACTACATCCAATCAGCTCGCAGTAGAAAAAACAAGCCACGCCCACTGTTTGCTCATTTAATATTTCGTTTCTCCAGGAACTGCGTCACAAAACGAAAAAAAAAAGATCACAGCTTCTGGTTCATACGGACTTTAGGGCCAGTGGAGTAGCGCAAAATGAGGGGGCCCCCCTGCAGGGATCACTGACGGGGGCCCCTGATGAGGGGG